TCAAAGCCTCATCCAGCCTGGCCTTCAACACCTCCAGGGATGGGGCATCCACAACTTCTCTGGGCAACCTGCTCCAGTGTCTCACCACCCTCACAGTGAAAAACTTCTTCCTAATGTCTAGTCTAAATCTACCCTCTTGTAGCTTATACCCACTACCCCTTGTCCTATCACTACCCCCCCGATAAAGAGAGCCTCCCCATCTCTCCTGTAGGCCCCCTTCAGGTACTGGAAGGCTGCTATTAAGTCTCCTCAGAGCCTTCTCTTCTCCAGGCTGAACAACCCCAACTCTTACAGCCTGTCCTCACAGGGGAGGTGCTCCAGCCCTCTGATTAATTTCATGGCTCTCCTCTGGACTCTCTCCAACAGGTCCAGGTCTTTTTTATGTTGAGGGCCCCACATTTGAAATATATCAACCCACGTGCTTTGCTGCATGTTGAAAAAAATATTTTTAATTTATTTCTTTGCATCTCTGACGAATTACTGTTTATTGGTAAGGTCCCTTTAAAATCTGAACCACCCAAATATTATTTAGGACAGGTTAGACCAGCTATTGAGTAGTACCAGCCAGCTGCTGTTGAACAGCAACCACAACCCTTTAAAGTTTATCTGAAATACAACCAAAACAGCAGACCCCTAAAGAAAAAAACCTCAAGGTGGTATCAAAGCATAAAGGAGATATGCAGAAAATGTGGAAACATCCATATGTCAACTGTTACTTTTTGATTTAAAAAAAAGATTAGAACTCCTTAACTCCTTCGCTGGCCAGAAAAGAGCACTGATGGATGACTGCACTTTCTGAAAACACAAAGAGCTAAGCCTACTTCTGTAAAATTACACCTTCCTGGTGACAAGAATAAGTCAAGATGCATTTTCCCCTCCCACAGCCAAGATATGGAAATACTGTACTTCTAGGAGAGGCACACATTTAAACAAAATTATAAAGTAAATGCATAGATGGAAGCAAGGTTACCATAAGTTGATTTCAGAGATAATACACTGATTCATCTTGCAATGCCTAGCTTTTCCAATGACATCTGAGGAAAGATCAGCACAAAAATGCCAACTGGTTTTAATAATGTTGGTTCTTATTTACATCTTCTGCATGACTTCTGAAAAATGCATTGCTTTTACAGATTTTCAGTGTTGTATCATGCACCATTTCTTCCATTTAACTGTAAAATACTAACCTTGTTTTTCTGTATGAGATGAAAGTCTTTTCCATAAATCAGAAGTGCATGTTCAAAGCTTCTGCATTCTTCTTCTGTCCATGCTGTCATCTCTTCTAGACAATTACAAAACTAGCATGATAAACTTGTTTTCACTCACTAACCTTTTACAAAGAATAAAATATTTGTTGCTGATGGATGAATAGCCAAATGCATTCTAAAAAACCCAATAGTTCAGTAATTTAGATCCATGTTCTTTCCTTTACTGTACAGATATCCCACCTGAAATCTAACATTCTTCTTATAAAGACTCATTAAATAGTTTGATTTCCAAAATATTTTGTCCTTGAGGGCAAAGCACATTCAGAAGATTTATTATTTCTTAGTAGGTTTGTAATCAAAAAAACAAGGTTTGATAACATCACCTAGGTCAGAGATAATTTTTATGAATTTTTCTTCTCACATAGGATACAAAGAACAGTAGTTGATGGAAAAGAGTGAAGGAACAACATGCTGTGACAGAGTGAGATGCACTTTGCTTCAGGGATCACTGAGAAGTGGGCCTGGCTGAGATCAGCCCAGCTGTGCAAACCATGAGAATTGTGCTAGGCCGTATCTTCTCAGGAACTACGGAGCCTGGGCCACGTCTTATCAGGAGCTAGCAAGCAGCCTAAGCTGGGAGACTAGACAAAACTAAAACTGCTACAGCTGCACACCTGCATATATACCAAAGGGGAGGTCATTAGCAGTCTGTCACTTTATGCTACAAACAGCTGAGCCCGTTGATCTCTCCTGTACAGCAGCAGGCTGCACAGAGGTGATCTCCCCTAAAGGAGGGAAGGGGAAACCTCTCAAGGTTCCCTTTCAGGGTTGAAACACCCCTTATTCAACACCTGACGCCTGTAACAAGATAAGTGACATTCTACATAAAGTATAAAAGTATACTGTATGCTAGTGACATGTTATGTATATATCAAACTACAGCTTAATTATTAGACGTGTAGTAAGTAGTAGTGCTGAGTGCCACTTAATTATCGATTAACGATTGTTAAATCACTGTTAAAGCACTGTTTAATTACTATTCAATTACTGCTTAATTACAATTCAATTCCTAATCATTGATTAATTATAATTTGATAATTCAATAATTAATAAAACCTTTTAGTTAACCCCATAACAATGACTTTTCTTAATAAGCTCAACCTTGTAAGAGGGAAACTGAAGGATGGTAAGAAACTAATAATCATATGCAAGATGTTGAAGAGGTATTTAGGAGCTGTGTATCAAGTATAAGGAATGTGAAGAACAAGAAATGAGAATGTTCACAGTAACTAGCATCAGGCTATGTTTTAGATCCGTGTCGAGAGGAATGTTGATAACATACTGATGTTTTGGGTTGCTGCTGAGACAATCAAGGATGTTTCTACTTCCCCTGCTTTGCTAGTGTGTGCATGGAACTAGAAGCTAGGAGGGAGCATAGCCAGAGCAGTGGACCCACAATTACTGGTTTAGGGTTCGACCTTAGGTTTAGGATTGAGGCACAAATTGGCCTCATATTCCAATGGCGTATTCTATATCATGCAATGTCATGCCCAGTAAATAGATGAGGGTGGTGCAAAGTTCGTACTCTTGCTTTCTCAGTCGTCTTGCTCTCTTCTGGGATTGCAGTTTCAGGACTCTCTCTGCTCTGGTATCATTACCCAGGAACAGGGTGGGCCTTGGTCAGCAGGTGGTGAGCAGCTGCACTGTGTATTACTCATTTGTATATTACTACTATTACTATAATTGTTATTATATTATTTTCAATGTTACTGTATTTCAGTTACTAAATTGTTCTTATCTCAACCCATTAGTCCTCTTTACCCCTCCAATTCTCTCCCCCATTCCCCAGGGATGGGGGAGGGGGAGCAAGTGAGCAGCAGTGTGGTGTTTTGGTCACTGGCTGGGTTAAAACAAAAGGTTGAACAAAGAAAGCAACAAGAAATGTTACCTCTGTGAACAGACCAAATGCTTATACAAGTGTCAGAGGAAAAAGAAAAACACAGGACAGTAGCGCACAAACTAGAACTCATGATAATTCGGGCCCCTAATCTCCCCAGATCCTGTAAAAACTTGAAAGTTAATCATTCCCCCAGAAGACTGGGATGGAGATATTTGGGAGGACCCCAATGAAGAACTAGTGATGAGAGTGAATTAGATGAACAGGTAGCCCCTATTATTAGAACTGAGATATGTGCTGGACATCAAGGGGGCAAACAGAGAAATACTAAAGACCACTCCATGGGACCCACTTCAACAGGCCAATCTGCATGAAAAATAGAGGTCGAAGCCTGGTGAAAGCAAGACTGAGTCTCTCTGGCATGTCTCCTTAAATGGAGATCGTTATTATGTTAGATGAGAAGGGATTTTGCGGACTAGGAGTGTTCTTAAAACAAGAGACTGGCCCTTAACACTGAACCACACTCTATTACCCACCAAGCAGCATATTGGGCACGAGGCACAGACCCTCAGGATAAAGGGGAGCCCACTGCTATTCCAATAAGATCACTAACGGAACTTTTTGCTGCTGTTACAGAAGCAGCCTACCTTCAGGCTAGGAATGACAGAGGTGCACAAGGTGATTACCCTATCTCTGCCCCTGTAGACCCCAAAGCCCTGAAACCACTAATAAGGGGAGCCCTTGATGTTTTAAACCTGTACATCATTGCAAAAAGGGACGAAATAAACAAAACACAAAGGATAATGCTCAGGAGGGCTAACCCCACTTGCTACCCATCCTGACCTGGGCAGACTTATGCATGACATTGTAAATCATAGTCAAGAAATGGAGTGTGATGAACCAACATCAGCAGTGTGATCCCAAGCTGACGCAGACAGCAGATGGATCTGGCAAGTAATTTAGACTCCTCAGAACACCGAACACTTTCCCTGATCTCATAAACCTTCTGGTGAGGTAGTGAACCCACGGAAAAGACATAATAGCCCATGGAGGAAAACCTCAGTGCTACGTACACGTTGGGTAGCCATACAAGGCTAACTGGCTGTGAGCATACTTAGTCTGATCCAGGCTTTGAAAAACAAGGGATATTAGGGAATTTGGAACAAAACAAACAACCACCTGCTCCTAAATAACCCACAAATAACCCTTTCAGACTTCTTCAGGAGGAACTGCAATCTTTTTTTTTTTTTTAAGATAAAACTTGCAGTTTCTAAATGTGAATTTTACAAACAAAATCAAAAAAATCACTAAAAAGAGTAAGACTTTTAAAACAAAATATCTCAAACTATTTCAATAGGTCAGTTTTGTCCCAGTTGTTGTTGCTTTTCCATCTTGATTATGGCTTTAGGTCTACATATAATTAAGAAGGGATATTTTCAGGCATCTCACACTCATAATGGTGATCCAAACGTTTCCGTTCAGCTGATACTTAAAGTCAATGTGGGGGGGGAAAAAACACATTTTGAAATATTTTTGAAAGCAGACACTGGAACCAAGACTTTTCTGCTCACAGATGAAGGTGATAATCATTCCACTAAAGGCCATTTTCTTTCTTTCTTTCTCACCCCATTAATTTTGCACTCCTTACTACAGAGTTCTCAAGCTTCAAAGACCAAAAACATCCCCATGTAAAGTCTCACTGTTAAGAAATCATCCTGGGAGGGGTGGATTGTTAATTCTCACCTTGAGAATAGCAGTTAACTTCAGTGGGTAGAGTAGATCATAGCATAATGGTTACTCTGAGAGACAAGACACTATCAGTATTATCGTCCTTTATCACTTTTAAGGAGAGTATCCATCTGATTTGAGGCAGTGTGCGGAATGTGAGTACCAGTCCTTAGGATTGACTTCTGGGCTCTGAATGGGTAGAGGTATTTTTCAATCCCAAAACAGGAATCTAAATCCTAGAGAGGTATGGGATACAAACCTGCAACTGATACTTCCTTGTTGTTTAGGTGTATGCAATCTCTTCTTGTAGGAGGCTTTCTGAAGCACGGCTCGGACAGTCCTTATTTGTTCCCTTCAGCTTTACCTTAGACACTTAGCTTTCACAGCACCTAACTTGAAAACACTCAAATTTGCTTTGGATCCGGTTCTGAGTACGGAATATCTGACAGAGCATCAATTATACGAGGGCTTATACTCCATTTCTGCTTTACACAACACATATGTTAAAATAAGGGACAAAGAACTGTGTTTGCTAATTGGTAAACTCTGACTTTCATTTAAGGGAGTAATAAAATTAGGGACAAACAATATAGAAGCTTGTTTTCCAATATAAACTCAAGGAAAGCTCTCCATGCTCTACAAAAGACCTACAGAACTATACAGTAGAACCACTTTAGGGTTGGCATAGCACCATGTTAGCACAGTGACAAAGAGAGTGGGGCTTCTTTATATAGCCAGCTACATTCTTCTAATTCTGGTATAAATGTCATCAGATCATATCACGATCTAATCCACTGTACTGTGGGTGAGAACAGCCTTACGAAAGCAAAATCACCACTCTCCCCATCACTCTCCTCAGTCTGTGCCATTCTTACAACAGCAACGGAGGAAAGAAGGGACGGTGAAAAGCTGATCCTATAACCTTCATACATGTTGCAAACTTACCTAGCAAGAATTTCCAAATGGTCAATGGTCAGATTATACCTAATCTGTGCTAAAGACATCATGGAAAGAGATGTACTCATCTATCTGATTCTTACTCTGGGCTTTTTGACACAACTTTTTTTCTTTTTTTTCAAACACACATTTCCAAAAAAGCAGGTATTCTCCCTTACCCTGAGATGCCTTTCCGTTTGAGCAGTATCTCTCAATTGCTTCTTTAACATTATGGCTACTCTTGAGAAGTTCATACAGTGCCTATGAAACAGAAAAAGGTAGAAGGAGTCAAAGTTTGCAAATATCCAATCTAGACTTCTAAAACTAGCCTTTTAGTGAGCATATCTAATGTAAAATAAAAGGATTTATCTTTATACATGATGAAAATTAAAAAAAAAAACCACCAAAAGCAAAATAATCCAAAAGTTGCTGCAAGGCTTAATTAAGAAAAATGTAAAGCATTAGATACAATTATCAAAAAAGCTGGATTTGTCAACAGCATGGCAATCAGAAACATCAGATCACAACACTGCCAACATTCAAATGCCCGTAATTTTAAGCATGTGCTTAAAATTGCAAATAAGATCCTGACCCCAACAACAGCTAATAAAAAAAAAAAAAATTAGTATTGCTGCCTTTATAATGTAAGGCAGAGAAAGAGAACACCTCTTAATTACAAAGCAAAGTGTCACAAATGGAACAGGATATCAAACATACTTGTTCATTGTCCCTTGTATGTAGTCCTTCAGGAATTCTGCCAATCATTTTTTCATTTCCTGTTCTTAAGGAGGTTTCAAAAAGGTATTCTTTAACTTTACTTTCCGAGATCACATCAGGTTTCCAAAGTAAATGGTCTTCATTTTCATAGGCTGTTAAAACAAAAACCCATTTACAGCAGGTGTGACATTTTTAAGGTTGTAACATTAAAAGCTATTTCACGAAGAACAGGAACACAGAACTAATCAAATTAAACACCATTGTGCCACTTTTAAATTGCAGCTCACTTTTCCCCCAAAAGTTTCACTTAAGAGACAGACTCTGCAGTGTGACATGGTAAAGAGATTCAAGTTCCCTGAGGATGAGGTAAGGGGCTGTATCCAAGATGAAGAGTCTTTACAGAGGAGCAGCTTGTTTACAGCTAGATGATTCAAGTCAAATTATGCATATGTGTTCATCATCTTCACATACACAAACTAGCAAAACCATTCACAGTTTTATTCATCTGTTTTCAAAAAATAAACTACTGTTTACAGTAAAAGACTGCAGGATATTACTTTAGTATTTCAAATATTACATGCCAAAACAACAACAAAAAAAAGAGGATGTGGCTAAATGGTCATTTTCAACTAAATTTTGCCAAAAAATACTTAACAGAATGGAAACCTAGGTCTCAATGTGGTAATCTGTTTTTTAATTCACTAACAACTGAATGCTGTTAAGAACTTGTATGCTGCATACTTTTCAAGCAATCAGGATGCATAGTCCTCCTTCATAGTACACTAAAATCAGGTATGCATCTCTTAAGTAGCTCATTTGAAATACAATATGTAGGAAATACCCAAGAGTTGCCCTGAACCTTTGTCAGTCTGTGTACATTTCAATTCTACATTAAACTACAAATACTTTACTCAGTCAATAGCTGTGATTAACACGGCACATAATGTTTCATGTACTCTCTTCGGCAATACAAAATTAGAGAGTTATTAAATTCAAACACACAAACATAATGGCTGTTACAAGGTGAGGAATAAAATTACAAATCTGAAAGTTCTGTTATGGCTTAAGAAAATGGAAAGCTTTCAAACAGACACGTTACAAGTGTAAGGTTTACAGAAGATAAGAACTGCCTTCTGGCACAATTCTCATAGCTAGGACTACATAGCAGAATTATAAGCCCTGCTTTGCCACCACAAGCTCTTCAGGGAGCACAGAAGAGGTTTTCACAGAATCCTCCACCCCTACAGCCAGGTCGAACATCTTTGAGCACTGCTGATGCTCAGCTTCAACCTCCTTTATCAACCAAGTCAAGCCAGCACTTCTTGCTTGAGTCCATGACTGATAATCTCAAGAGGAGCTCCCCGGGCTCTCCTGTCTACCTCTTTGCTCTTGGCCATGCCAGCAGACAAGACTCTCACTGGTTCTCTCTAGCACCAGCTCATGACAGAGAAAGTTGTCAGATTAACACCCTCCTGGTCATCGTCTGGTTATTGGCCCTTCTCTATTTCTTGGCTGAGAAGATGTGTAAACAGAAAAGGACTATCCAGACAAATACAGTTCTTTCTCCTTCACTTCTTGCTACCCATAAGCATCACACTTGAATCTTAGAAAAGAGTAGAATTCCCTAAGTCTCCTAAGCAACACAAGAGATGTTCGCTTGCTGATGCTTCCAGCTCCATCCATACCAAACACTCTTCTTCTCTATTGCACAGAATCATTCTTCAAAAAAGCAGTTGGTAATGGTGCAAAGACTTGATATACTTCACTAGAATAACATTCCCAGGAAATGTTACAGTTTGAACACAAGGAACTCACAGAATATTGAACATTTACAGAAAACACCAGAATGCCCTTCATTTATTAACATATCCCCCAAGCTGGTCCTTAAATTCACAGCTGTTCCACCTGTGAGCAAATTTCTTTAATTTGAAAGAAAAGCTTTTTGAATTCCACAGCTACATGTGCTACACTTTTCTCATAGTGAAGGTTTCTAAAGATGCCAAATAAAACTCTATTAAATAAGTTCTTGTTTCTACTCTAGCACAACTGCAGTTTTTAGCCTAAATTTACACTGGAATAACTTCCTACTTAAAACATCATATTTTTTAAAAGACAGTGTATCTAGATCTACACCTACTCATGCCACTGAAATTTAAAGTAGTTTATTGCTTTGTTTTCCACATCCATTCTGTAATTCACATTATTGTGCTTGTCAAAAAACAAGCAAAGAAAAATACTGTTTTTAAGATCTTCAGTGTGAGCTAAGTTATATGCTCACAGTCCACTTACGATACTCTGATGAAAATACTTCCTTCTTGACCCAACTTGTTGCCTCCTAATATTAAGATACTTCAGAATTAACACTGTAATCCAGCTTCTGATGTTTTCTCAGAATGTCCTCTCAAAGTTGAAGAATCACATTTATGAGATATAATTACGTAGTTGTGTTACTTCTGTTTTCTAACGCCTTTTATTTTAAGGTCTCTAAGACTTTTGCTAAGCCATTGAATTTACCTTGTAAACTTAAACATCATTTTGCCATCAACTGTTATGTATAAATACAAAATAAAAAGTAAAACAGTCAGAAGAACTTACCCTTTTCATCATCAATATATCTACCAAGGTAAGGTGGAATTTCAGCCTGGTACTGTGAACCAACCATTATTTCCTAAAGATGTAACAAAAATGAAAAGAGAAAGGTATTAACTTAGTATTTTGTGTATGGAAACATTAAAAATGCCATTAACCCGGCATATGGCAGAGAATTCCAGAATTAAAGTACTATTATAGATAGGTACTACAAATCTTAATGCATTTTTCTTAACAGTAAAGATTTTTTAAACTTTTTAAAAGATATAATCATTACCTTTCTCAAATCTTCAGATGAATTACCATTGTCTGCCTCTACTTCTTCACCATCTGATTCCTTATCGCCATCACACGTAGTGTTTGCTTCAGACACAAAAAAGTTGGTTTAGCTACGAAGATTTTTCAGTTCAAACACAGAACTACAGGATAGCCTTTACTTCTGAAAGGAGCATCTGCTTTTATTCTGGGAGACACTAGCATGAGCCTGTTGATCTGTATTTTTATCAGAAGTCTGTTGATCTACATCTGTATCAAACTAGCACGAAGTCAGAAAGCACTGGTACTTGTGTGCTGCAGAACGGAAACATTTATCAACACTGCAACTGAAACAATCTACTATATTTCTAACAGTCAAAAGGAAATGAGATCATTTTTCCTCATCAATTTGCTCCAACAAAGACTTTTACCTTACAGAAAAGGTATGAGAAAAACAGAAACCTTCCAGGTCTATAACTTAGCCTCAGGTTAATCACAAAGAAAGTAAAGTTGAAGGCATGTCACTATCACCTACTAAAACCTTTCTCCAGAAGTTTCAATGGGCATTCAAAACATTCCTTTAAACAAGGCTGCCTCAACATGGAGTGAAAATACAGGAGAGATATACAAAATGGAATAAGCACAAGACAGCAAAGACTGCTTATCCCTCTTTAATATATTTTTTTTCACTTAGGAAGAAATACCGCAAAGCACTCAAGAAATTTAAATACAGTACTCCATGTAAGAACTGATATTTTAGAATCTGGAACACTGTGGTACTGGGTTCTGAAGTAATTCTATTTTTATAGCTGTATAATCCCTGGCAGAATGGAATCTACAGTTCTGATATGATTAAAGCTATTTTATATCCTCAGACTTCAGAAACTACATGCTCATAAATAGGGTTGCAATTTTAGTTTCATCACAACTAACAGAATTGTCAAGATCAGAGACAATATCCAAGACTGTATGGACTTTATAATTACTAGAATCACCAGTCTATCTCTTTTTTTGCTTTTAGAAGTAGCAAGCAAGAAGCTAACCTGAATGCACAAAATAACAATATGCCTGGATAATCATAGACAATTATTATTTCCAATTAATGCAAATCTAATAAAATAGCCAATATTATGTATTATTCATATTTATCTTAAAACTTAATGTTATATTAACATTTGAGAAATCAAAAAAAAAAAAGACAAAACTGCAGAGAACTGCCAACTCTCTCCCTGGAAAGGTGGATATTAGATTTTAAAATGTCCAGCCAAAAGTCCTAATAGAGAAAGTAACATTCTGACAAAAAACCGTGATAGCTGAGAACAAAGATGACAGTTTCTTAATACTCAGTAAGATGAGGGGCTAATAATTTTTTCTATAAAGCTGCCACACTTTCAGTGTCATATTCATTAACAGTTCACAAGCAACATTTAAGTGCCGACAAGTTTGGGCTTTGCTTAACTGAAAAAAGGGCACTATAATTCTTAAGGTTTTTGTATCTCTCTTTCAATACAAATGTCTCATATTTATTACACAATCAGAAGCATGCAAAGGGATGCAATTGCTGATGACTGAGGCAGCAGATCCCTTTTATCATCTCCTTTCTCCAGAGGAATGAAATCCCCCAGGAATAGCTAAAGATACTTGCCAAGTTAAAACTGATAAAAATCCTCCACGTTGCTCTAAGTCTAGCACACCAGTGAACAAATGAGCTGCAACAGGGAATGAGGAATATCTCCTCCAGGTTGGATAAATGAACCACTGGTTCTCAGATCTTTCCCAAAATAGCTCCATGGGTAACGAAATTTTGGTGGTCATGGGTTTCTAGGTCCCATCCCATACAAAACCACTTTGGCTCACCCCATGAAGTCCTATGAAAAAGTGTCGAATGTGTGAAAGGAAATAATGACAAAGAAACCTCACCCCAGTTCACATCCACAGGCTGCATGGAAGAGTCACTGGCTTAAAAGAAGTAGCAAAAAATTTAGTGGAGAAACACTAATTTAAAATAATGGGTTATATATTCATGTAATTCAGTAATGTACTGAAAATAATGAAGGATGCTCGAAGGATGCTCCTCAATACCCCATTAACTATTAATTATGAAGTTACTGTATTTGTAGAGAAACTAATTCTACTTGTGCTTTTGAGCACAGTACCAAATATAAGTCTTTTTGGTAAACAGTAATACCAACCAAAGACAACATTCATGTACAACATTCTGCAAAGCACTGTTTCTCAATTCCTGGTAAAGTCAGCACTACTCTGCAATTTTGGTATTTCAAGCTAGCAAGCTATACATAATGCTAACACTTCTTGAATACTATTATAAAATTAGGTTTCTTACATCTTAATGGCCGAGGAAAGAAGTCAGTAGCCTCATGTGAAGTGACTGATGGTGTCAAGTCATCAGCAGAGGACTGTGTTTCTTCATCATCACCCGACAAGAGGTCTTTAGCAATTTCTTCCTGCATTATTAAAATAAAAAAAAACCTCAGACTGATTATTAAGTATAGATTGGTGAGCATTTAGATCCAGCAAATTGTAAGTCTCATTAATTAAAATTAATTTACTTTACCGTAAGTCAATTTAGCAGACCATACTCCCTTAATTAAAAAGCTAGTTTGCTCCTCCTTAATCTAAGAACAAATACAACAATTCATTTCAGAGTTGAAGATAGGGGTTCATTTGCCTTTGCCCTCTATTAAAATAAATGCATGAGAAGTAACTTAGATGTTTCTCTAACTGCTTCCAATGAAAAATGCTAATGGAAACTGCCTCAAATCTTTAGAATTCTGTCATTCTTTGCAACACAGATATACTGCAGCTTTAAAAGGCTGTTACCCCTTAGACCCTGCGAAAAGAAAATAAGACAGCCACACACTTTTGTAGACTTTTGCTGAGAGGACAGTTACAGATAATAGACAACCTGTTATCATCCCAAAACACAAAAAAAAATGACATTGCTGTAGGTTAAAAAAAAAAAGAAAGAAAAAGCACACTTGCTCCACTAGCAGACATGTTTGAACCCCTCTGTATAGAGGTTAGGAAGGGAAAGAACTGTATTAGACAACAAGCCAACTACATTTTTGTTGCCTCAACACAATCGTGAATCCTAATGAGAATCAGATGTGCAGAGCCATCATTATACCCTACTTTCTGTGGAGTTTACCATTACATCATACTTACAGAAAGTTAAAAAAAAAAACCAAACCCACATCTACTTACTACCTACATACTTTATAATCCAAACTACTAGCTGCATATGCTTTATAGCCAAAAATCAGACTAAAATCTCTGAATTCAAAGTTAGCTCGCAAACCACAAAACCTGAAGTTTCAGGTTTTTACATCAGCAAAACACATATAGTCACTGCATATAAAACAACTCTCACTCTCCAAAAATGAGATCTTTCCAAATGACAACGCATTTAAAAGCAACATTCCAAAGCATTCAGGAGTGGGTTTTTTGAAGTCATCCACAAACTTTTTGACACTTGACATGCGTGCGGGAAGCCAGAATTATTATTTCTGGAAGCTGCATACATTATCGAAAAAATCCCACTTCTATTAAAAAAACCCCACATATCTAAATTTCTTCTGATGTGTTTTAGAAGAACTGTTTAACTACCCATTTCTCATTTGTAGTCATACAGTGCCACTAAAGTTGCTATGCTATATATGTGTGATAATTATCATTAGAATCAGATCCTCAATATCCTTGAAAATGAGTGACTACAGAGTAATATCATATATTGAAATTGACAAATATTTGTATTTTGTAACATCAAGAGATAGTTAAACATAATTTAAAGGTCACCAGGATTTCTACTTTTAAACCGTAATAGAGGGGAGAACGGTTCTCACTTACTTTATCTAAAGTCATATCTGGAAGTTCATCTGCAAGTTCACTTGGGGAGCTATCAGCACTGGAGCCTGCCATAACTGGAATCGTGGGTTCATACCCATAGAATGCCAGTAAATCCTCCAATGGCATGTTTCCTTCCTAATACAAGAGGATTTACAAACACTTCAATATATTGCCAAATACTTGTAAACAGTTCAGGCCTAAAAGGATAAGACATATTTTGAAAAACAAAAGTAAAAATCAAACCAAGGAAAACTTAACTGGAAGCAGGAATCTTGATTAGACTTTAAATATTTTCAGGCACAGGACTGAAATAATTCATAACCATGTCTCTTGGCATATAGTAGAGTCACATCAAGGTACTGAAGAAAACTGTTTGCTGGATGAAACTGAAGAGTAATTATTAAAAATATGCTCCTTATCCGATTCATACTGTAGAGCACAATTTGCCTATATTTCTACAACACATATCCTAGAAACACTAACAACCTCCCTACAGGAGAAGAAAAAGTTTTTACTGCGGAAAAACCTGAAGACTTTAGTCTTCAAGACATAGTTACACCTCCAAGTGTGCAAAAACCCACAAAAGTAAACCAATACATCAGCTTTTAAGCCCTCCCTTCCATCTCCTGAACAATACACTTTATAATGACCATTGGAAGGGTAATAGGAGAAAGACATCTACAATACAGAAGGCAAAAATCAAGAGAAAGGCCTGATTTATAACTTCTTTCTTTTCGACAGCTTTTCATCAAGTGATTTTGATAAGTACCATTGTACTAGCATCCTAATACAATTAATAAAACAGTGGAGATTTTTTTTAGTTACCTGAATCAATCCACCAAAATATTAAAAATATTTTCCAATATTTGTACCTTTAAAAGTTGTTATTACCTTTAAAAATTTCTTGTTGAACTCATACACTGATTACATTACTTGTTTTCTTTAGTCAGCTAAGGTCTTAGTCCTGTAAAGACTTTTCACAATGGGTAAACGTAAACTCATGTCCAAGTCTTTCCAGGATCGGGACCTAAAGCAACAGAGTGTTTAAGATGAGTGGCTCTCAGTTCTTCTTCCTTCTATTACAGAAGCAAAAAGATCATTTTGTGGAGGAACAACTCCATTTTAACCATCAGACTTAGCAAGCTGCTTTGCTACCACAACTGCAAGTTCATAATCAGCAAAAATGTAATTGCAAAGGTAGCGGGACAAAAAAACCAAAACAAACAATCAAGAGCTGTCAACTCCACACTTACAAAATCTGTTTTTACGTAGACTACAAAAACACAGCTTCATATTTGATGCGAAAAACTACACTTTCCTGGAACTCTGTTGACCGAAGCTGCATTTACGCCAAGTAGTGTTAAGTGGATCACCGAATAGTAATGGAAGCAGCATTAATTTGTGGGTGTTCAGCATTCAGCAGCCTTTTAAAACAGGTGATGCACTGCCACAGATGAACAAGAGGTGTAAACAGGAAAAACACGTAATTAAAGAGTGTAGAATGGAATAGGAAAAGCCAAGGAGCCTGCTGGTCATTTTGTACACCTACCAAATGCCTCAGTGATGAAACTGAGACATAGAACTACCGTTTATGTAGCACATGAATGTGATCCATCATGCCTAAAAGGGAACTGTTTGTCTGCCTACTGGAAAAGCAAAACCTGACCAACAGAATGAAATACAGCTAGCTGCCACTTCATAGTATGGAAAATGTAGAGTTTCAACTTATATCCAACTTACAAAACTTAGAAATTATAAACAATATTAGATGATCAGACTCTCAAATCTGCTTCAGTGATTCCTCTACCAAAGTGAAAGGACTACTAAATGAAAAAGAATGTGAAGTTAACATTATGCTAATATCTTTGAGAAGCTAGGTCCAGCCTTTTTGTGAGGAGGCACTGCTTTATCGTACCCAAACCTGATCATCTTATTTTAAACAAATGGAAACACATGTTGCAGGAAACTGAGTTATACAATACAAACTGAAGAACAGGTTGAGTGTTCTCTTCACTAGAAAAGTTACATGTATGGACATTTACAAGAGAGCAAGTCACTCTTACCTTTTCTAAATCTTCAATTTCAGAGCTGAAATTTTTGCTTTCTTCCATCATTTCCTCTTCTTCAAGAGTTCGCTCATCATCATAATCATGTACCAGCATTTCAGCAGATGGGTCAAAGTCATGATCCTCAGACGATAAAGAGCCAACTATCAAAAAAACCTAATTTGAGTCATTCTTTTTCTATACCACCATATGAAATTACATCACATGCACACAAAAAATGTTCGCATTAACTCTTTTACATAAAGGGTCAAAACTCTCAATGGAATAACTAGAACATATTCCCAACTACTTGACAAATTCAGTTGTTATAGCTGGCCTTTCCTTTACATATTTTTAAGAAATACACGCAGTTTTCTCTCTTGTAGTATAGAGCACTTGCGAGAAGCACATAGACTATCACAACAAAGTCTCAGAAAGCACAATCCCAAATTAATATTATACTGAATAAAAGATTGTTCAAAACATCCTTGAAATCATCATTAAGGTACAAAGCACATATGTCACAAGGTTTCAGATGCTGCAAGACTGATTTATACAGTAACTAGCATAGCTTTTCACTGGTAACTCATAGCTAACTTAAGCTATGAATAAGCTTCCCACTAACAGCAAAATAAACAGTGAGACTTACTTCAGATTAGTTTAGCCTCACAGATGGATCTTTCATTAAAACTAATTTTTAGCACTTGATCAGAAAGGAAGAATAAACATAGCAGAGTTGCAAGAAATATTGAGGAAAATATACTGGAAATAGCAAAATGCTTCCGATAGATCATGTTAATTAACAAGCCATTTGACAGCTCAGTGGTCCAACAGACACTTTTTCATTACTCAAAAGGATACTCATAAGTGATCAAAAAGTTCTGTAATTAAGTGGATTTTGTCAACTGTTAGAAAGGTTATCAATAGATTCAACAAGTTTTAAAGATGCAAATATTCCGTAAGGTCAGCATTCCACAATGCAAATCACTGAACTACAGGGTTGTTTTGTTCACGTTCACTTTTGCACAGAACTTTCAGCACAGCTGAAAACACCACTCCAACTAAAATAATGACATTATGTATTGAATTTTCTTGCTGTTGGCCATCACATCTCCATCCAGTTTTAAAGAAGTGTCAACTGCCTTAATCTAATACATATTTACATACATATGTGCTCAAGATTGTTGCTTCTAATCACTGTTCTAACTCATTTTATGTCTTTAGTAACTGAACTGGAAGTTCTATTCCACTCACAGACTTTAGATAAAAAAGTCCCACTTCTTCAGTAGCTCTGAATGCTCAATGTCCCATTTAAAATACATAAAAACATATTAAAAATACAACCTCAATAAATGTCATGAGTAGTCAGAAAAGATGACAAATAGCCAGTACAGAAAGCAATTACAAAGAAGAGGTAAATACATTCCCCAAAAGTAGTAGCCCTGCTGATGTTAACTGTGCTTGCTTGTGAAAATTATTCCAGTAAAATCCTTAAAAAAATTTATAATTTTAAAAATTCTCTGTTATTACCGAGAAGTAAAAAAATTACACAGGCCTGTAGTTATCAGCAACAAGAGAAACAGTCTCTTTCCAGGCTACAGGGCTTTACTGAGATGCTGACTTAAAAGTGCCACAAAACTTTGATTTCATTTTGGGTTCCGAGCAGCCAATTACTAACTGCAACTAGAATTAAGAGGACTCCACAGCGCCCATCTCCTTATCTTAAAAATCTGGCAGGCAGTTAATTGGGTGCACACGAAGCATTAGGAAAGCTAAGAGGGGATAGATTTGGGAAGAAGCAGGAAGGAGAGAATGACTTGTGCGGGCGGCAGGCCGAGTGCGGGAGCAGGAGGTGGGTGAGGACGAACCTGGGCTCGAACTCCCAAAAGATGCCTGCGGAGAGAAGAGAGCGAGGTGAGAGCGGGCTTCCCCCGGTCCGGCGGCAGGCGGGGGTCTTCATTTCGTTCTTCCCCTCT